GGCATCGCAATGGATTTTCAAACGAGGCGACCGAGCATGCATGCGCTTCTCCCTCTGAGGACATTGCTTTACTGTTTTACTTAGCTAATTTGCTTAGCTAGTTTATGCTTTGGTTTGTACTTAATTAGTTAATGCGCTTAACTATTTGATTTGTGTTGTAATAGCTTAATTAGTTAACTTGTTAGTTAATTAGTTTTGTGATGTAATAATTAGCTTAATTAGCTTAGATTAGCTAGTTAGCTTCTTATTCGGACCCTCCGTCGAGAGGGCCAATTGTTGTAATAAGCGTGCGTGTGTGTGATGTATGTCTTCCAACCTCCATTTCTTTCTCCTTTTTACTTACCGCTTAGGGCATATTTCGTTTAGTATACCTTATGCTTGCATGCGTGCATCCATTCATCTGTCTTGCATGCACTGGGCTCGGCGCATCATACTAACTGCATTGTATTTCAATTCCAAATTGAATACATGTACCAAGTTACATTTCACATGACATTCTAGATAGTCAAGCCTATCCTAGTTGCATTTTTGCATGTGTTGTATTAGCCATCTTAACATGAACTAGGATCATGCATGATTTCTAACTAGTTCTCTGTTTTGGCTTGGAGTACACTGTGAGTGTTTACGCTTTAGCATACTACATGTGTGTTAATGTTTCCATGAAAGCATCCTTTCCATGAGGCTAACTGTTTACTTGATATAACTGTCTGAATACCTGTGGGTGAAGGTTGGATTGCTTGAATTGGAACAATTCATTGAAATCTGCGATTTAGCCTACTTGCGAGTAGCAAACTTCAAATCATTTTTCACAAACGAATATGCAATGTTTTGTTCCAACTTAGGCGATCTAGTCTATACTTGTTTGCTGTGCGCATAACATAGTAATTCTAGGTTAATAACTGGAATAAGAACACATGTGTTTTCAAAAACAAAATATCATGCTTAGTAAAGGCCGATCTTTTGATCGGGCGAGCGGGGGTGCTCATTGCATGATCTTCCCCTCTCGTACCCAAGTTCCCGAGCCGAGGCCACTTTGGTAATGATGAACACGTGGCCTTAGGCACGAGTCAGGGTTTCCTAAATTCTCCCAAAATAAAATATTTAGGTGACGACTCTATATCTGGCAAAACAGTCCATGTTTGGCACTTCTTTATAAAAATCAGTTTTCCAAAAACGATTTGCCGAATTTAGACTCTTTGGCGATTTATCGGTCTCACATTGCACTTTGTGAGATTAGATTCAAAATCGTGACTTGAGTCCGAACTTGTAGTAGCCTAAAGAACAAAACGGAATTCATGCCCTCATGCGCGGAGCCGAGAGTTCTCCGAGGCGGTCTACACTTAGCTGTTTTGCTTAGTTAGCTAGTTTAATGGTTTTGTACTTAATTAGTTAATGCGTTTAGCCATTCATTTGTTTTGTAATAATTAGTTAACTAGGATTAGTTAATTAGTTTTGTTGTGTAATAACTAGTTTAATCAGATTAATTAGATTAATTAGATAGCTTAGCTTAGTGTAGCTAGCTTAGCTTATTCATTCGGACCCTCCGTCGAGAGGGCACAACTGTTGTAATAAGCGTGCGTGTGTGTGATGCATGTCTTCCAACCCCCATTTCTTTCTCTCTTTTACTTATCCGCTTTCAGTGGTTAGTTTTAGGACATATTTCAATTAGCATACTTGTGCTTCACATGCGTGCATCATTCATCTATCTTGCATGCACCGGGCTCGGCGTATCATACTAACCGCATTGTATTTCAATACCAATTTGCATACATGTTATCAAGTTGCATTCACATGACATCTTAGAATAGCCGAGCCTATCTTAGTTGCACTTTGTATGTGTTGCATTAGGCATTCTTGACATAGCTAGGATCATGCATGATTACTATCTAGCTATTGTTTTGGCTCGAAGTACACTGTGAGTGTTTACGCTTTAGCATCCTTGCATGAGTGTAAGTGATTGCCATGATAGCATGTTTGCCATAAGGCTATGTGCTTAAATGATTAACTGCATGAATGCCTGTGGATGAAGACTTCATTGCTTGAATTGGAAGAATTCATCAAAATGCGAGTTTTAAAGCCCACTTGAGAGTGGCAAAATCATGTTTTTCTAAAGCCCACTTGAGGGTGGCAAAATCCGCGTGTTAGCCTACTTGTGAGTAGCACCTTCAAACCATTTTAAAAGAAAACGAACATGAGATGTTTTGTTCCGACTTGAGCGATTTAGTCTATACTTGTATGCTGTGCGCATCACATAGTAATTCTAGATTAATAACCGGAACAAGAACGCATGTGTTTTCAAAAACAACATATCATGTTAGTAGAGGCCGATCTTTGATCGGGCAAGCAGGGGTGCTCATTTCAGGACCTTCCCCTCTCGTACCCAAGTTCCCGAGCCGAGGCAACTTTGGTGATTACGGACACGTGGCCTTAGGCACGAGTCAGGATTTCCTAAATTTTCCAAAAACAAAATATTTAGGTGGTGACTCAGAAATCTGGCAAAGCAGTCCGTGTTTGGCCTTTTTTTGATTAAAATCAATTTTCCAAAACGATTTGCCGGATTTGGACTCTTTGGTGATTTATCAATCTTACATTGCACTTTTTGAGATTAGATTTAGAACTGTGACACGAGTCCGAACTGTAGTAGCTAATGAACAAATAGTTCACACCCTCGCACGTGGAGCGGAAGTTCGGGCGGTCTACAATTTCTGGCGACTCTGTTGGAAATTTAGAGAACTTGACTCAAACTCATGATATCTTGTTTTGACTACACTTATGTGTTTCTTTGCATTGCATTTGCATTGGTGCACCTAGGACACCGTGTTTGTCGTATGCTATTCCCAAACGATTTGCCGAAGGCTTGCTTCGAGAAGCGTGCCATAAGGCTGACCGGTTGTGGGCTCTGCCACGACGGGAACACAAACCCAGTTTTTACCAGGGCACCCTTTTTGACCATTCGACCTAGTGCATATCGGAATCCATAGTGATTATTCCAAACTAGGACAGGTTGCTTACCCGATTATAGGTTGTTTGAAACCGTTGTGTGCGTAGTGAAACCCTAGGTCCTGACCAAATAGGACAGGGAAACCCTACCCCTCCATAGGGGTGTTTTGGCTCTCATTTGCTTGCTTTGTGCTTTTAGAGTATGTCTTTACAGGAATGCATCTATTAGTTTGCAAGTCTGGGTATCAGACCTGAGGGCATCAGTATTTAGGGGAATCAGTTTTACTTGAGGGTATCAGATCTGAGGCAGTGATTTGGGAACAATGATTAGTGTTTGAGAACAACGTATTTAGCTTACGAATGCCAACTGTGTGCTGTCTTTATTTTAAGCCGTTATGCTGTCAATTTTTCTGGTTATTTGTTTCCTTATTATGCTTTATTTATCTTTTTGCAAGGTAGTTTAGCACAATTGCTTCCGACCAAGCAGATATTCCCCGAGCACTCTGGGTTAGAGGTCGAAGACTTCATCGATCCGAGGATCTGATAGACAGACAACTAGTGTTCCCCTCATTACCCCCGGTTATTTGACGGAGATCAATTAGGCACAGTTTATCAGTACAGCGGTTACCAGATCAGTGGTCCTTATCCACCCCGCCAGTGAGTAGTTTGATTGAGGTTCCCGTGTCTACAGCAGAGATAGATATACCAGTTGTTCAGTTAGATCAGCACAATATGGCATCTATGGAGGATATGATGTGTCAACTCCAGGAGACTATGCAAGCCATACAGCAGGATGCTGCCCACCAGGCAGAGTTTACCGCACAACAGGTCGAGGTTATGGCCCAACAGGCAGAGTTGATTGCCAGACTTCAGCAACAGCAACAGCCACAACAAGCCGAAGCATCTGCTTCGCACCCACCTCCTCCCCCACTAAGAGTTCCAACACTTGGGGAGACCGCAAACGTCCAGGAAAATACGGACGTTGCAATGGGGCCAGCTCCGCCCCCAATCCTACCTCAGTTATCCATAGCGCCCACCAACCTAGCAGATAAACCGTTTGAGTTCGAGGTGGATCCAACAATGCTAAAAGTGAGGAAGCTAGAATAGCTTTTCAAGAAAGCTCAAGACGTGAAATCCATTCCGGACATAGAGAATGGATGCACAGACTCGGCCATGACTCTGCTGGACCGGTTTAAAATGCCGCACATAGACCGTTTTGACGGGTCTGGGGATCCTATGGTGCACCTGCGGCTATTTTCGGATATCCTAAGGCCAATGGGTCTCTCCAGATTGCAGAAGCTTTCCCTGTTTGGTAAGACCCTGTCGGGTGTAGCGGCTATTTGGTATGCAAAACTGGAGGATTCCGTCAAGAGGAATTGGAAGGAGATGGCTAAGGCCTTCGTAGCTCAATACTCCTACAATACACAGATCGAGATTATGACCTGTGATCTCGAGACAACTAGGCAGGAGCCGAAGGAGAGTTTCTCCGATTTTGTGACCCGCTGGAGGGCCAAGGCCTCGATGATGACCATTAGGCCGACTGATAAAGATCAAATACGGATGGTTGTATGCAACCTCCAGCCCAAGCTCATGCAGAAGATGATCGTCCTCCCTTTCCCCACTTTTGCGGATCTACATGAGATTGGGGTACAGATCGAGAACGCTTTGAAGCAGGGTCTGATTAACAATGACAAAGAACAGCCCAGGAGGATTTTCAACCGCAAGACGAATGCAAGCACTGCAGCTGCCAGAGCTTCAGATATGAGCATGGTCACCACCACCACCCCAAGAACCCTTACAGCTACACCATTCACCGGCGCGTCCGGAAGTAACTCACAAACAACCAAGTATTGACCTCGAGGCCAAAGAACCTTCACTCCACTATACATGCCCCTGTCCAAAGCTCTGGGGATTTTAATTAAGAAAGGGCACTTGAAGCCCCTGGAGCCGCGACCATTGCCAGAAACACTTCCCTCCTCCCATAACCCAGCTAAATACTGCGCCTTTCACCAACAACATGGTCACGACACCGACCATTGCTTTAGATTGCGTCATGAGATTCAAGATCTCTGAAGTTCATCAATGCCGGTAATACAAGCAACTAGGGAAAATATACAGGCCAATTGTTGGAGGCAGAGCATGAATCCCTGTAAAAGGAAGCAATGCATATATGAGGGACACAAAAACTAAAGCACTAAGCCCTGTATACTATGTGTGTGAGAGAGAGAGAGTTACAATAATGCAGTTATCACACGGTGTGGTCTGTATGTTGAACTCATCTTGCAACATGAAACGTGTTGATGCAACTGAATTTGCAAAGCAAAGAAAAACCTAAAGCAAGAACAAAGCATGAAAGAAAGAGAGAGAGATGGTATTAAAATTAATAGAAAACACGGATTGCAGACCATTTAGTTGTTAAAGTGATGAATGAATGAATATATCAGAAACATCAGGATTAAGATCATATGAACCTCTTACCTCAGTGCAAAGACAAAATTCAGGGCATTTACTTTCTCCACACTTCCCACTACAAGGCATATAGCCACCACAGCATGTGTACCTATATAACCAAAAAAAAAAAAAAAAAGCTTAACAACTCTATTTTTGATATCATAAGAGCTCATAAAAAGCTTAGCCATTGGTTACCTTGACATGTCATCGTAAAGAGCTCGTTTGCGGAGCAAGTACGATACACAGGGAGCACTACATTATAAGATAGATGAATTAATTAGGCTACCAACTTCATTGTAGTAAGATCAAAATAACATATGAAAAGTACTTCCAAGTAAGCTTTTTGTTGATATAATCATAAACAAGATAGCAAACAGATAAGAAGGCAGCAATATAAGAAAAGAATAGTATAAAGGTGACACTAGATAAAAGAGAAAAATTTTGAGATAAAGAGGGAAATAAAAGAGAAAACATTGCTCAGGACTAAAAGATGTGCTTACAAAATAGTTAAGTTGGAGCGCAATTCTCAGCCATGTAGGTTATAGAAAAAATTAACACTTAACAAGTCCACCTTTCCTCATTACTTTTTCTTTCTCATCTTTCTAGGATGTCAAGATCCTTCCTACATTTGTAGGGGGAGAAAAATGAGACACTTTCTGTTTTGCTTATTTATTCCTTCTTCAATCCCCAAAAAAGAGAGCTCTACCCATATATGCATTTTCCCTCTCTTACATTAATCCATTCATTGAGAAAACATTGAAGCCAAAAGTAGTTTTAACTAATTCAATTCGAGTGTTTAATGGGTAAAAAAAAATAAGAATAATTGAAATGTAGAATTTCTTTTGGTGTTCTTTCTTTCTTTATTTTATTAAGTTGTGCTATTATAACTATTTTGTTGAATCTTAACCTTTAAAATTCACATTAATTCCATCAGAAAAGATGATTGCAACTTGCAAGGTAGATGCCGCTTTCCAAATGAACCTTTGAAACATCAAAATCAGCTATGATAACCTCTTTGCACACAATTTACATGAGTTCAAAAACAGGATCAGAAAGTGCTTCCCCTACTCTCTATGCCCCTATAAAATTTAACCTTCTTCACAAACGGCAACACTTACATAGATTCAATACACAAACAGGCAGAAATATAAAAGAAAAACTGTTACCAACACCATAATCAAATACACTAAAAACTAGAAGTAGAAAACAAAGAAACTGAGATCAACCCAAGAAAATTCAAGGCACACAAAATCTTCAACGAATTTGGGTATATGACAACTCACAAGACTAGAATTCCAAACAAAACAATAGAATATCCCAAGTGATTGATTCAAAAACATGTTTTTTCCAACGAGTCACACATCAAATTCTATGGATATCACTTATATATAGCAGATAATAAAAAGTCTGTTATCTATTGTAGTATGCCTATTTGCAAAAATATGAACAAAGTGTTGGAATTTGTTCTCATGGTGATGGTTTTCTAGCTCAATATTTACTTTTTGCCCTATATTTATTTTCTGGTGGTAATTACACCAACACAAAGCAAATAAATAACATAACTGATTCATCAAAGGGAAGCATAATTAGCGCATAATCCGGTAACACATGAAAATTTAAACCTATGATAGTCAGACAGTCTAAACCAAGCCAACATGCACCGATTGTGCAATGCAGCTACATAAATAATGCACATATCTAACAGACACAATATAACAAGCACAAAACGTCAAAATATATATACTAAATGTCCAAAAAAGAGATAGATTAATCTCAAAAAGTGGAAATATTATATATGGTTGTAAAATAGACATAAGAAAAATGAGTATCTATGATAGAAATCCTGTATTTAATTTTCAAAGTAAAAAAAATAACTTCATCCAAGACATGCTGGCGTAGCCGGGCCGATGAACAATCTTATTTTATTTTTCCTGTGTTCAGAATATGAATAAATTAATCATTCCAATTTTTTATTTTTATTTTTATTTTTTCATTCAATGTGCTATCTGCAATGTAATGGAGTAGAAAGTTCGAAATTCTCAATTTCCTTTTTTCCTACATATTCCCAGACATAACAACAAAAACAATGCATGTCAAACTTACCTATAGTCAGTTTCTCAACAACCAAACAAAAAGAAAAAAAAAAGAATCCAAAAGCTAAAGTAAAATCGTCAATTGAATAAGAAAGGTCAGAGACTCACCAGAGCGCCGAGAAACAGCAATCTGCAAGCAAAATAAAAATCAGAATTAAAATGAAAATTTGAAGAAGAAAACAAATTGAAATGAAAATTAAAATAAAAATCAGAATTAAAATGAAAATTTGAAGAAGAAAACAAATTGAAATGAAAATTAAAATAAAAATCAGAATTAAAATGAAAATTTGAAGAAGAAAACAAATTGAAATGAAAATTAAAATAAAAATCAGAATTAAAATGAAAATTTGAAGAAGAAAACAAATTGAATACAGAACGAAAATTCAAAATTTTGATTAAAAAAACAAACAAACAATCAGAAATAAAATGAATATTTGATTGAAAAAAAAAAAAAAACCTTTATAAAAAGTATGACGAAAACGAATGAGAAATTCAAAAAGGGAGGGAGTTACAGGCAGGATCGGCGGCAATGGAGTTGGTGAGATCGATGTGCCAGAGGTTCCGATAGTTCTGACGTTCCTCCATTTTTTCGACCTGCGCCTGAGACGCCATTTTCCACACGATCAGAAGCTCCTTCGAATCACAACAAAGCCCTAAATTCAACAGAGAAAATGAAAACAATAAACCAGTGATTATGGAGAGAGAGAGAGAGAGAGAGAGAGAAGGTTGGCGTTTTAGAGGTTTTGGAAAGAAAAAACCGTTTTCCGTTGGCCAATGAAGATTATATACATAAAACAAAGAAAGGGTAAATTATAATAAATTATGATTTATTTACATTTTATCTTTTTAAATTTTAAAACTCAACAGTTAATTCCAAAGTATTACTTTATTGCTGTTAGAAATTTGTAAAAAAAATAAAGTGCAAATGAAACTAGATCTTTTGTTAGAAATTTATGTAAAATTAGATAATGTGTAAAGCAAATTACATATTTATTAAATTTTTAGGGTAATTCTTTTCTCATCTGATGATCCTATTTGCACTTTGACATAAGAAAATAAAGTATAAATGAAATCATCATATAAAAGTATTAGAGCATCCCCAATGATTCATAGCTAAAATCAACATGTAAATGTATAATTTAGTAATGAACAATGTAAAATAGTTATAGGGTAATAATATTGCTCCAATGGTCAAATTACTATTTTTAACTTTTTCCCTCCATTTAATTGATTTAATTCAACTACTATCCTGCAACCACTTTTATTCAATTCAACCACATCTTTGAATCTAAAAAAAATTATATATTTCAAATCTAAAAAAAAATAAAATCAACCATGTAACATCCAAAAAATACAAATTATAATTATTTGAATTATTCATGTGTTAATTGCGAATTATATGATTTAATTTGTGTGTATTTGTCCAAATTGAGAAATTATTTGTTGAGAATACAACTTTGGAATTGAAATTGACGATCTTATTGGGTTCAGAAACCGAAATTGCTCCGCGTGCAAGGGCACGAATTGGATTCATAGCTACTACAGTTCGGACTCTTGTCACGGTTCTAAATCTAATCTCACAAAGTGCAATGTAAGACTAATAAATCACCAAAGGGTCCAAATCCGGCAATTGGTTTTGAAAAATCAATTTTGAATAAAAAGTGCCAAACATGGACTGCTTTGCCAGATTTTAGAGTTGCTACCTAAATATTTTATTTTGGAAAATTTAGGAAACCCTGACTCGTGCCTAAGGCCACGTGTCTGTCATCACCAAAGTTGCCTCGGCTTGGGAACTTGGGTACAAGAGGGGAATGTCCTGAAATGAGCACCCCCACTCACCCGATCAAAGATCGGCCTCTACTACCATGATATGTTGTTTTATAAACACATGTGTTCTTATTCCGGCTATTAGCTAACTTTACTTATGTAACACACACATACAAGTATAGACTAAATCGCAAAAATTAGAACAAAACAATTCATGTTTGTTTTCGAAAATGGTTTGAAATTGCCACTCGCAAGTGGGCTAAAACGCGGATTTGCCATCAAGCATGATGGGCTTAAAACATGATTTTCCACTTCGCAAAGTGGGCTTAAAACTGACATTTGTCGAATTGTTCCAATTCAAGCAACAAAGCTTTCATCCACATGCATTCATGCAGTTTATCAAGTAAGCACATAGCCTCATGGCAAGCATGCAAAACATGGCAACATGACAATCACACTCATGCAAGTATGCTAAAGCATAAAACTCACTGAGTACTCCAAGCCAAAACAGAAACTAGTTAGAAAAAATGCATGACCCTAACTATACAAGATGCTAAATACAACACATGCGATAATGCAATTAATAGGCTCGGCTACTAATATGGCATATGGATCGATTTGAACAACATGCGATTTAAATACGTATTCAAGGAAATATTGAAATGACAATGCAATTTGAATGATGCGCCAAGCCTCGGTGCATGCAATACGAATGGATGGATGTAAGCATGCGATTTGCTAATTGAAATATGAACCCTAATCTAACCATTGAAAGCGATTAAATAAAAGGGAGACAGATGTGGGGCTGGAAAACAAAGATGCACGTACACACACTTATTACAACATTACGCCTTCGCGAAGGAGAGTTCGAATGAATAAGAGCTAAGCTAATCTAATTAAGCTAATTAGACTAAATATTACAAACCAAATGAATAACTAGCTAAGCTAATTACTAATTATGTCAACATTTTAACTAACTAGTAAACTAATTAATTAATTTACAACCCAAATGTACATGAACTAAGCATTTGAGATATTAAACTATGTTGCCACTGCTCCATCTCGGGAAGTGGAAGATGCACATGCTCGGTTTTCACCTCGAAAAGACCTTCATTTTGCTCTCGAAAGTCTTTGTTTGCAGGGTTAAGCATTTCCAAAACCTTTCTGCTCCATCTTGCCAAATCTTTGCTGAGGTTTATATCAGTGGCCTGCTGTCCATGGAATGCTGCCGGCTAGGGAGGTGTCCTGTCGGCCAGAAATGATGCACTGTCGACCATAAATGGTGGCCTACTAGCCACCGATGCACTGGGTCATCATACTGCAATAAAGCACAAATAGAGCAAAAAAAGGGTTTTTCCAAGGTTGTTTTTTTTTTTTTTTTTTTTTTTTGATAACGCAGGTATCTCCAACCCTCCAGTTTTTCGGGCAGCCAGGACTACTCCTGCGGGGTAAGTAGCCCGGGGGAAGCCGTGTACCCATTTCAAACTGCTGCAAGCACTCACCTAGTGGGGAATCGAACCCGTGACCGTGCGCCTTACCCACACAATCACGTGTGCGCCCTAACCACTGGGGCAACTTGCCCCCCACCAAGGTTGTTTTTTTAACAAAACGGCTTTAGCAATACCGTGTTTATTGATTAAAAAAAATTTAATTTGAATATACAAAATTGGCTTTTGAAAAGCCATTTTTAATTAACTTTTAATTAGCTCTGAGTTAATTAAAAATAATTTTGGTAAAACCATTTTTCCACTAATTTACCAAAAAATATTTTTGATACAGAAAACAATTTTAAACGGCTTTTTTAAAACTATTTTCAGAAATAAATTTTTTTTCTTCTTTTGTTTTGGGTACAAGATTGCGCCACCCAAAAATTCAGACGTACAATTTTCGGCTGTAAATAAGAACGTTTGACCAAATAAGGCCACGTTTGGGAATATGTTTTTTTTTAATAATTTTTTGATTTTTTGGTTAAAATATGATGTAAAAAAAATTTAATATATTTGGGATGATTTTTTAAATTTTTACAAAAAGATGTGCAAAAAGTAGAAAAAAAAATAATATTTAACTTTTTAATATAAATTATTAATTTTTTAACCTTTTAAATAATTTTTTCACTTTTTAACTTAAAAAAAACCCCTTGTCAAGACCTAATAAGCCTAAACGGGCACCGTCATCGCTCTGATCCTCCCAGAGAAGTAATCACAAATCAAAAACCAAACGAGCCCATACCATCTGAAGGACACGTGCCGTGTACACGCGTCAGACAGCTGGACACCTGTCAAGCAGAGGCTTATTTGTAACACCTATAAAACATGCACTAGTGAAAACCTTACCACTCACAGTTGAAAGAAAACTAGTCTCTCAATTTTCTAAAGTTGTAGTATTACTATTACCATCACTACAAACACTACTTGAAAAAATGGCCTCTAGAGATGAGAGTTACAGAGTCGGCGAAACCAAGGGTCGAGCTGAGGTAATATTTCCTTTTTTATATTATTGAAGAAAGGTCGACAAAAATAAAAAATTTATAATTTTTTAACAGTAATCATAAAGAGGTGCAAGTCACTTGCATTTCCACAAATTTTTTTTTTTTGAGAACTTATTGATAAGTCCCATGTACCAAGTTCAAGATCCAGCTAATCCCAAAACAAAACACTTGTACCAATTAGTCCAATACATTTTTAGTTATTACCAAAAAATCCTTTTTTTTTTTTTAATTTACAGACACTGTTCACATCTTACTACCGTCGGATTTCCGTTTAACGGTCGCCGAAGACTCACCGGAATGTCTAGAATATTGCCCGAAAAAAAAATTTAAAAAACATGTTATGAAACTGTAAAATTTTACAGTTCTAAAGAATGTTATAAAACTGCGAAATTTTACAGTTTTAAACCATGATTCATTCCAGCACCAAAAAAAAAATTTGAAACTGAAAAATTTTACAGTTTTCACCGCCTGTAACTAAAACTTGAAAACTACTTGTTCAGAATTCGAAAATTTTCTCTATTAGAACAGAAAAACAGAAGTGTATAGCAGAGGAAAAAAAAAGAGATCGAAGGAGAAAGACAGATGTAGAGAGATGATTGTACTCCGACAACTATTTTTTGTTTAGATCTAGCCAAATCTGATGTATATCTACTCAGATCTGATGTAGATCTGAGTAGATCTACATCAGATCTAAGTAGATCCACTCATCTTCTTCGTCGGAAATATATATCTTCGCTAGAGATGAGAGTTACAGAGTCGGCGAAACCAAGGGTCGAGCTGAGGTAATATTTCCTTTTTTATATTATTGAAGAAAGGTCGACAAAAATAAAAAATTTATAATTTTTTAACAGTAATCATAAAGAGGTGCAAGTCACTTGCATTTCCACAATTTTTTATTTACATTTCATCACAAAATTATTAGTACTCAATATATTTTTGTAATTATTTTTACATGCTTTACTATGTTGAAATTCTCCTTAGAATAAAAAGCAGTTTTCAAAATTTGATTATAAAATTATTTTAAAAAAAAAGACAATTACAAAAAAAATATATCATAAGTTTTGAATTTAATAACAAAATAAATTTTGACTTTTTTTTAATTTTGTTTGTAAGGAAATAAATTTTATTTTTTTTATTTTATCAATTTAAGTTTTAAATTTGTTTTCAATTTAAATTATTTTCATTAAATAAAATTAATAAAAATAAATATTGTAGTCATTAAATTTAATGAAAAATATATTTTAGACATTTTATATTTTATATATAATTATATTAAGTTTAATGATTAAAATATTTTTTTCGTTGATTAAAATTTTATTTAAAGAAAATAAGTGAACGGTTTAGATTAAATATAAATTAAAAGATTAAGATTTATTTTGATAAAATTAAAAATTCATAGTTTATACACAACTCATATTTCAAAAAATAAAAATAAAAATTTATAATCTTATTTTTTAATATTTATAAGATTTATCACTAATTTAAAAATATTTTTTCAAACA